ATAGAAAAATTTTCGACGCAAATGAGAGAAAAATGAATGTCATTTAAAAATAACATGGCATACTGAATGAAAAAACGTGTCATTTGCTAAATAATGTGTTCTTAGAATTAAAATTATAATTTTCTATGTTCTCGTATTGAATAACGTGTAATATGGGAATTGTGCATATTACAAAAGAAACTACCGAACATTGAAAAAACAATAGATGAAATTTGCACGGAGTTTCCAAAAAAAATTGAAATCTGGAAATGATGAAGATGTGGTGGGTGACAGAAAGGAAAATTCTTTTGGTAGGTTTGGTTTGCAGAGTTTCAAAACAATATCGTTTGATGAGTTGGCCGATTGTGTTGGGTCATGGCGGAGAACGGTAACAATAGAGTCTAATGATGAGATACAGCGGAGATCGGAACTAGCGTAAAGGAACATGAAAACATGAGAGATTTGGGAGAGATAAAGAATTTGTTGGTGATCGTAATAAATAGACTAGAGTTTATGTTAGTGTTGAAGGTTATCAAAGATCCAACGAAAAATTATCTCAGGAGAGATGAACGAAATAGAGAAAGTTTTAGTAGGTTTGTTAAAGTTGTTATTTTCTCTACCTCACTAACATATTCTTGTAGCTCATGACTATTATCTTAATTTTTTTTGAGTCAAAAGTTAGTTTCTACATATACCTTATGAAATATCACATGTCACATAATTAAATAAATTAATAAAAAGTTATAAAAAATTAGTCGAATTAGTTTCTACATATAAACTAACCAAAAATTCAGTCAAATTTTTTTGAGTCAAAGGTTAGCCCAATGTTTGTCTCTTATTGATTTACTTTACGTTTCACTTGTCTTCTTATTTACTTATTTGCATTCGTGACACCATAAACCAAACCCCTTTTTAATGATTTTTCCTAGCCTTACTCTCTTCTGACGGTTTCGTAATACAACTTCTCTGTTTGTGGGATCCGATCTTGTAACGCCCCGACCGTAACTACCAGTGGTTCCCACGTCCTCTCTCGGGCCCGTGGGCCCACTCTTGTCCGACGGCCGGTCCGCTACGTCCGGGATGTTTTAAAGACTTGTTTACCGACCCTACAAATCACCACATGTTATTTCCCTATGTTTTGTCCTCACTCAAAAAGTTCCGACAATCACTTCTCGGAAGGTCACCCATCCTGAAATTGCTCCAGTTCAAGCACGCTTAACTGTGGAGTGTTCTCAGGACAGTTGACCGAAAAGATAAGTGCACTTTAGTAATATAGGTGGCCAAATCAATTCTTTTAAACCTCTCCGCATGCACCACCATATTCCTAAAATCGGGGTGTTACAGATCTTTAATATTAGAGACGATTCATTGTGCACTTGCAGTTATCGTGTGGTCTTTTGAGGTAAAAGATTAAAGTAAAAAACCATACACATCACAAGGATGCGTTTTCTTATTTTTCTTTATCTTTGATTCTCGAAGTGCGAATGTATAAGAGGATAAATTGGCACAAACTATTCGTAGCCAACCGCATATTATCACCTATGTAAACAATATTCCTCAGCATTGGTGATAACATCGTATTTTTACCTATATTAGCTATTATTTTCTTATGTTTTCGAAGGAATTTGGTGTGATTTCAAAGCCAAAGAGATGATATTCAAGTATTTTAGGAGTCAAGAATGTTTTATGAGTTTTAAGGCAAAAAGGACGAAAAGGCGAGCAAAATATGTTTTCGGGCAGATGTGAAGCTCCGAAGGTTTTGCATCCGTTGGAGACCTTCCTGTGCATCAAATTGAGAGATCTTGGAGTCTATGGAAAGCTAGAAGAGTCAGGAACCGCAAAGAACTAGAATTAGACTCATACGATCACTTGTCATTTTTTGGTGCCCATTTGAATGAAGCCATGTCCGAGACCGTCATAAGGACTGTCATGGTGGAGAGCTACCAGTTGGGACCGGTCACGGCCCACGTGACCGGTGTGAATTCTAATCCAAAGCCCAGTCATGAAGCCCGTACCCATTTTGAAGCCTCGTCCCTGCACTTAAATGAAACTACGTAGTTTTTCCCAAAAATCCCTAAATCAACTACTGATTTCCTGAGACCTATAAATACTTGTTGAAAACCCTACAAGAGGGTGTGTCTCAAGTGCGTCTTTCTTGTGCCTTCACTGAGAAGCCCGGAAACGAAGCAGCCGTCTCCCTCCTTGATCTGAAGCTTTGAAGACACCAAATCCCTTCTTTTCTCTCTTGTTCTCTAAGTTCTATTAAGGTGAAGTTTTAACTCTTGTATTCGACGATAAAAGAAGTAATCCCAACCTTATTCAGTTCTTATTCATCATATTCTTATGAGTTTGTAAAAACTTGCTTTGAAGAGTTCCTTAACCATGCTAGAGTAGTTTTCTAGTTGGGTTTAAAGGGCTAATCAAAGGGGGGACATGATTGATCGTTTAGGTGGCGATACTTAGAATTTTGTTTGATTGTTTACACTGTTATCTTTCTAGTTAAGCGTTTCCTTAATGCATGTAGTTAGCCACATGACCTAACTCTGATTTCACGTGTTTATGTTTCTCAAAAAGGTTACTTAATGCACTCAAACCTAGCTTAAGAATGAGTATCGTGTTATAACAATCACATGTCACTTAGTTATAGGGCTTTATGGACTAGAATCGAACTCGATCTTATTGCTTTGATATATGTGTCGTTGCCTGCCTTAGTTGAGTAACAAAGTATAGGGATTTTAGCCGACTAATCCTATAACCTGGGGGTTAGCTGATCATTAGTGTTTCGTATATTCGAGACTTAGAATTAAACAAACCTAACTTAGTATTACCTAGTTAGAAAGATCATTGAACCCCATGTGATCCCTTGAATGCCCAACGTTTTCCTCTTATTATTTACTTTACGATTTACTTTCTCTCTTATTTGCTTATTAGTTTACTCGTGACAACAAAACCAAACCCCATTTTATTGATTAGTCCTAGCCTTACTCTTTTCTGACGGATTTATATTAAAAAACACCTCTCTCTGTGAGATTCGATCCTTTAATACTACAGACGATTCACTGTGCACATGAAGTAGTCGTGTGGTCTCTAAGGAAAAACTTTGGAGCGGAATAAAACATGTATCAATTGGCTTGTTTGAGTCAATCTAATAAAGTTGTTGACAATAAAAAAAAGGTGTTAAAATCATACATATAGTGAGATGGTTTAAATAAGCTTTAACACTTCTAAATTTTTGGAAATTCGATTATCAACTATCCTTTTGTGCATCCCTAACCACATCTCTCATGATTTTTGTAAATCGGATCCAACAAAATAAATGGAGGAGAACCGCATAAAAACGAGAACGCCGCGTAAAACGAGAATATCATAACTAGGAGAACGCAAATTATTTAAAAAGGAAAACCAAAAAAAAACAAAAAACACGGCAACATAGGTAAGCTGGATGTACTGGACGGGGAACCTTAACGGGGAAGTCGAAACTCGTTCTGTCACGAAAGCCGGATTGAAAATCGGACGGCTAAACAAAACTTGATCAGAAATAGAAAATGTTTTTTTCTTAAAAACTTTAGAGAGAGAAAGGAGCATAGAATTATTTTGGCATGTTCATGTTTGTTGTTCTTTATTTTTATAATTCACCATTAAAGAAAAAAAATGTATGTTTTTCATAGTTCTTTTTTTTTTTCTTTTTTTGGACAAAAAGTTTTTCATAGTTCAAGTAACAAAGCTATTTTTGAAATTTTATTAAGAAACAAACCTAGTTATTTATATTTTAAAAATTGGGCCTATTTTAATATAATTTTTGGTCTATTTTTTATAATTCTCACCTAAAATATGCACGCAAATTAATAATTTCGATTTGACTCAACCACCTATAATATATTTCATTACATTTAATAATTTAAACACATTATCCTCGCTAACATATAAAAGACCTATCCCTACATATAACAATATTAAAATTGTTTGGATCATTTGTTATCTAACAAATTGGTCAAATCAAAGCTAAACCTCTACAATACTATATATTAATAATAATGAAAATAAATTTTATGACAGCTAATTGTGTGGTCTATGAAAGCTAAAGGTTGGGTATTTAGCTGATCTTGCATGTTATTTTATCAACCTGATTGGCTTCCCTAAAAGAAATTTTTGAAAAATAATCTAAATTAATTTTTTTTGTTTGAAAAATCATCCAAAGAAAAAGAGAATTCCGAAAATAAGCAACAAAACCAATGGCCTATATTTTTCATTTCATTTACATTTGAGTTTTTCTGTATACAAATTTCACAATGTTGTTGAAAAAATACGTAAATTATTGTAAACATCAATTTTAATATGGATAATTTTGTCCTTCCAATACAATTCATAAGTGTGCGCATATATTTTAATATACACGTGATCGAGGCTATGTATAAGAAAAACAAAACATAACAAAACTCTTTGCCAGCGAGTGTCTTACCGCAAATAGAGTGACCTGAGATCAGATCTTTTTGCCTTCTAATTTTGTGTTTTTCGTAAGCGAAAACAGTGGTTGGCTATATGAAATAGGATAATATTAGAAAATAGCCAAACTATTGAGAGAAATTAAAAATTAACCATGATAGAGAAAAGTTGAGTAACTAACGTTTTCTAGAGGTGGGAAAATTCAACAATGCCCTCAAACAAAAGATAAAAAGTGCATTAGAGTATTGTAAATTGGAAAAAGACATGAAATAAATAATAATTTCGCAAAATCTGAAAAAAAAAAAAAATATATTATTACTGGAATTCTGGGGTGAGTGTCGACGAAAGAGAAAGATCTAACGAAATGAGAGAAAAGTCAATGTCATTTTAAAAAATAACATGGCATACTGAAAGAAAAAATATGAATATGTCATTTGTAAAAATAATGTGTTCTTAGAATTAAAATCATTAGTCAAGACAATGCAAAAATTTTCTCTCTCTTCCTTTCTCTAGACGATTGGCGATTTCTCTAGAACCCTCAAGACTTCTCTTCACCGACTCATTTTTCCGGTGATTCCTTTTCCGGCGAGCTCGGATTTTCTTTCCGTTTCAACGGATCTGAGACATACTTCAATGGCAGACAAGGAGTTGTGGATATCTCTTCAAAACCTGAATCTCGGCTTGGAGCGTAGCCCTTTAAAGATCTCAAATGATGCTAAAAACAGGCGAGATGCCGAACACCGGCTTAGTCTTGTTGTTCAAGGACTACATCCTTCTCAAAATCCAGCTGGAATTAAGGTGATAATGCCGAAGATTTGGAAATTGGAAGGCCGTGTTACCAGTCGAATTAATGATGATGGATCTGTCCAATTCTTCTTCAAGCATGAACACCAACTTCTTACAGTTCTTGATAACGGGCCATGGACCTATAAAGACTGGCTTGTTGTAGTTGATCGCTGGACCCGTCGAAATTACCCGGATTTCCTTCGTATCATCCGCTTTTGGGTAAAAATTCTGAATCTTCCAGATGATTCTAAGAGTGACAGCGTGATTCGCGAAGTTGGTGGAGTGTTGGGTCATGTTGATGAGGTTCATATACAACAACCGTCTGCAGACCAAGTTGGGGAAGTTCGAGTCCGTGTCCCAATTGATGTTGATGATCGGTTACTCTTTGCTCGCTACTTCAACTTGGATGATTCTCGACCGCCAGTGCTGATTCGATTTGTTTACGATAAACTCCGTAGATTCTGTTCTACCTGTGGAGGCCTCAACCACCTTTCTACACACTGTAACTTCCAAGCTCAAGAAACGGAGCACTTGCAGTTACCACCTCCAATCCATGTCCATATTGCGCATCACATGGTAGACCAACCACATACCCCTACTGAAGGTGCTGATGATACAATGGGAGAAACAGTAGGGTCCAATCTGAATATGGAGGTGTCAGAAAATCAAGATCAGAATGCTTCTCAAGGAGAAGATATGGAGTTTACTCATCCAAGAGAAGTCCAAGATACAGTTAACGCTACTTTTGAGGTTCAGGAAATGGGTGCAGGTTCAGTGTCTGGACAGAACAGAGGAACCAAGAGAAAGGTTAATGACTCAGCTGACGCAGAACAGGCTTCGACTTCTAACAAGAGAACTCAAGGGGAGGTGGAAACCCCGAAACCACCATCTCCAGAATGAGAATTTTGCATTGGAATTGCCAAGGGTTAAGGAACCCTTTGACAATTCCATATCTTAAAGATATCAATCGTCAACATAAGATTGATATCATGTTCCTCGTGGAGACGAAAAATAAGGATCACTATGTACAGAAACTAGGTATGGATCTCCATTTTGATCATCAAACTTTGGTCTCTCCTGATTATCTAAGTGGAGGATTAGCTATCTTTTGGCGGAGTACAGTGCAATGTGATATTCTCTCCTCTCCTACTCTAAATTATACAGATATGTACATTACTGAAGGCCAATCTACCTTTTGTCTTACCTATGTGTATGGTAATCCTGAGAGAAAGTCAAGACAATACATGTGGCAGAAGATAGAAAATCTAGTTAGAGGAGGTCTTTACCAAAGCAAGCCTAAAGTGGTTCTCGGTGATTTTAATGAGATAAAAAATAACCAGGAGAAGCTTGGAGGACCACCTAGGCCAGAATGGCAATTTCTAAATTTCAGAAGGATGCTAAATGTCTCTGGGCTTCATGAGATAAAAACGTTTGGAGGTATATTCACTTGGATTGGGAATCGTAGTGTTGGTACTATTCAATCCAAACTTGATAGAGTGGTGGCCACTGCAGAATGGAAGGATAAATTCCCTAAAGCTCGAGTCCAGCTTCTAGACTGGGTTGGTTCTGACCATAAACCGTTGCTGCTGTTTACAGATGACAACAAATGGAGAGGTATGAAATTATTTCGCTATGACAATCGCTGGAGAAATAATAGAGAATTGCAGCTGGCTCTCCAAAATACTTGGGATCAAAAATGCAAAATGTTGCCTCCACAAGAATTTCAAGAAGCTCTTAAGAAGTGCAGGAACAATATTTCTTCTTGGAAGTCAGAACACATCAATAACTCTCACCAGAAGATCCAGCGGCTTCATGAAGCACTTCAGAAAGCGTATAACTCTCATTCTCTTGATTTTAATTACATTACTAGCTTAAAACAAAAATTACAGCAGGAGTACAAATCGGAGGAAGAGTATTGGAGAACCAAAAGCAGAGTATTGTGGATGCAGGCTGGTGATAAAAACACCAAGTATTTTCATGCCAAAACTAAGCAACGAAGAAGTTATAATCGTATCACTGCCCTTGAGGATGATGATGGCAATGTTCAGCAGTCTGATAAAGATATTCAGAACATTATACGATCATACTTTACTAACCTTTATTCCTCTTCTGGCAGTGAAAATCTCGACCTAGTTCTCCAACATATCCAGCCCAAAGTCACTACAGTTATGAACCAGCAGCTCACTGCTCCTGTTACCGAGGAAGAAATCTTTCATGCTCTTGCTCAGATGAATGTTGATAAGGCGCCAGGCCCTGATGGACTCACAGCGGGGTTTTTCAAGTACCATTGGGAAACCATAAAGTCAGGTTTGATCAATTACGTTAAACTTTTCTTTCAAACTGGGTACTTGATTCCTGAAATGAACCATACCTACATATGCCTTGTTCCAAAAATTGATTCCCCTACCCAAGTGAAAGATTTCAGGCCGATTAGTTTATGCAACATTGCATACAAGCTCATCTCAAAGATTTTAGCAGACAGACTTAAACCATGGCTTCACTATATAATTTCAGAATCCCAGTCTGCTTTTATACCTGGTCGGCTTATAACTGATAACATTGTCATTACTCATGAGCTCCTGCATTCGTTGCGTACCAAGAAAATTAAAAACCCTTTTATGGCTTTGAAGCTTGATATTGCAAAGGCTTTTGATAAAGTTGAGTGGGATTATATTGAGAAAATATTGAGACGACTTGGTTTTGCAGATCAATGGTGTCAATGGATAATGAAGTGTGTTACTTCAGTAACATATTCAGTGCTTGTTAATGGTTCACCAACAAAGAAGATCATACCATCTAGAGGTTTGCGCCAAGGTGACCCTATTTCCCCTTACCTCTATGTTTTATGCACTGAAGGACTCTCTTCCCTTCTTACTCATGCAATGAACACAAATGCTATTCATGGCTTCAAAGCTAGTTGCAATGGACCAGCTGTTGGTGTCGGATCCCGCACCAGTAGACCGGAACCAACCAAAGATCGCCACGTAGTCAGGATGAAGGCCCGCAAAGGATGAAGGCCCGCAAAGGATGAAGACCCGCAAAGAATAAGGCCCATTAAACCCAAGGTGTACAGGATATAGTCGAAGTGGGCATCATCACGAAGGGAGCTCGAAGTGGTCCCATTTCGGGATATGACCCGGAATCAAAGTCAGGATGGTTCAAAGTAATTTGGGCCAAAAGGCGAAGCCCATGAAGATCGGAATCAATTCAAATTCAAACGTTGAGCATTAAACTCGAAGACCAAAACGGACACATTTAAGAGAGAATAATTGTGTTTAATTGAGAGTTAAATGTCGTTTGTCAATATAAATAAGAGGGCTAATAGCCATGTAGAGGGGAGGCAATTTTTCTAGCAAATACACTATAATCATTTTCCATTTCAATTACCTTCCATGTCAAGCTGTACGTTATATTTTTTCAATTATTTTGAGAAATGTAGAAAACTACATTGAAGTTAGTCATATGGTTGAATTGACTTTTTATATTTTGTCCTATTTTTTATAAATCATTTTGGAAGTTACGTTTCCCAAATGATACTTTTTGAAAATTGTTGAGTTCCCAAAGATGAACCTTTTAATACATTTCTTTTTTTCTAACCAATCATAATCTGCCATCTAATATAAATAGTTAATATTATTCATATAAAAAAGTTTAACGTAAATCATTAAAATATAACATATAACAATTTAGCATTTGTGTTAGAGTCTATATGTCAGTTTGAGTTTATAAGAGAGTGTTAGAATTAAATGTTACAAATATAAATAAAGTTTTATATAAGTTTGGATTTATAAGGGAGGTAGGATTTAGGTTTCATAATAAAACGAGGTTAAATGTCGGTTTTGGTTTCTAAAGAAGAGTTCAGTGGTAGATTTACAATTAAACGAGGTTATATGTCAGTTTGGGTTAATAAAGGACATTTAGGGTGTATATTTTATAATTAAACGAGGTTATATGTCGTTTTGGATTTATAAAGGAGGATTATGTTTATATTTTACAGTTACACGAGATTATATATGTTAGTTTGGGTTTATAAGAAGTGATTAGAGATTAGATTTTATAATTTAATGTAGTTAAATGATTGTTTCGGTTTTATAAAAGAGTGATAGGTGGCAAATTATGATTGCACTACACGAAATAAGGATATTAATAGCTATACGTTATAGCATTGTTAATGTATCTGCTGTAGTTGAGTTTCGAGAAAATTTACATAGCGTTTCTGAAAAGGTAAACACCATGGTAGAATGACCGCGGAAACATTTTGTTGTGGCACCTACTTTTGGTTCTACGATAGCATATATAAACTTGAAAACGTAGGGGTGAACTCAAGAATTGTTCTACTATTTTCTCTAAGGGATTACATTATTAAAACATGGAACTTACAAATTGGATGAGCCAGATAAACCGGAAACATCATAAACTTTGCCCGAAAGGTTAATGGGAAACAAACGTGAAAACTTTCCGGAGAACAAACACCGGAAAAATTATCATAATGAAAATACAAACAAACTATTCAAACATAGAAAATATAAAGATTACAAAAGTACTCAAAATTTATTTTTCTTGCCATCACCAAAAAACATTTTCGAGAAAAAGAACTGGTTAATCATCGCCGAGAATGATCAACATCGAACGGAGACTTCTTGACAACTTTTCATTATTTGATTTTGAAGACTTCAGAAATTAAAATCAATGCTTCCTATAGTTGGCAAGACGGGACTTTAGATGAGGCTGCTGTAACCGTCGACTCTGTCTAGAAGTTGAAGTCGAATTAGAATCACAAAGATACAGTTAGAAGTAGCATAGAACAAAATAGATTTTATCCATATTTGGATTTTGAATTGAGTGGATGAGACTAAAAAACTCGCCCAACCGAAACACCAAAAACTTGCCTGAGTGTTGATGGTGGTGGGACGAATCGTGCAAAGGTCAAAACACTGTTGGTGTCGGATCCCGCACCAGTAGACCGGGACCAACCAAAGATCGCCACGTAGTCAGGATGAAGGCCCGCAAAGAATAAGGCCCATTAAAACCCAAGGTGTACAGGATATAGTCGAAGTGGGCATCATCACTAAGGGAACTCGAAGTGGTCCATTTCGGGATATGACTTGGAATCAAAGTCAGGATGGTTCAAAGTAATTTGGGCCAAAAGGCGAAGCCCATGAAGATCGGAATCAATTCAAATTCAAACGTTGAGCATTAAACTCGAAGACCAAAACGGACACATTTAAGAGAGAATAATTGTGTTTAATTGAGAGTTAAATGTCGTTTGTCAATATAAATAAGAGGGCTAATAGCCATGTAAAGGGGACGCAATTTTTCTAGCGAATACACTATAGTTATTCCCATTCATACCTTTTTTATCATATTTTTGTCCTCAAGAGTAATCATTCCCACTAAATAAACAAATATTCAAGTGTGCGAATCCGACATCCACATTTTGGCGCCGCCTGTGGGGAACTAGAAGATTCTTGAGTTGTCAGATTTCTCTCATTCCGAGATAAGCAGCAATGTCTGGAGCAAGCATCCCTGACTCGTCAGTAGCTGAAACTCTCAAGGCCATGCAGCAAACCATGTCAGAAATGTCGCAAAAATTCTCGGATGTGGAAAAAGCTGTGGACACGCTTAAAACAACCCAGGTATCTCTTGGTCAAAGCGTCAATACTATTCAATCTCGTGTTCGTTCTCTAGGTGCAGGAAATACTGTGGGAGTCCGAAGAAGCATGTTCAGTACGCCGAACTCCTGTGTACGAAATGAAACCAACGAACAAACAACTTCTAACCCAACAATTCAACCGGATATGGAAGAAGAGACGCAGCTCGGAGATGAAGATCAGCTTGTAGATCAGTATGATCAAGAAAGCTTCGACCAACTCGAAACCATGAGAAAGGTTAGCCAGGAACTAAAAGAAATGAAGTCAAAATTCCACCAGGCCACCAGTTCGGAGCCGGACATCAACCGAGTCATCGAGGAAGCTAGGCGAACTCCTTTCATTCCGCGAATTGCAAATTTGAGAATCAAGGATTCTCGGAAACTCAAACTGGATCCGTACAGTGGATTAGAAGACCCAAAGAGCTATCTCGCAGCTTTTCTGATTGCCGCTGGAAGAGTCGAATTGGATGAAGCTGATGAGGACGCAGGATACTGCAAACTCTTTTCGGAAAATCTTTGCGGTCAAGCACTAATGTGGTTCACTCAGCTGGAACCAGGCTCAATCAATAACTTCGACGAGTTGTCGGCTGTGTTCCTGAAACAATATTCTATCCTCATGGATAAAAGCGTTTCGGATGCCGACCTTTGGAATCTAACACAAGGGCCAAACGAGTCACTTAGAACTTTTATCACCAAGTTCAAGGGGGTGCTATCAAAACTCCCAAGAATCTCGCAGCAGTCAGCTTTATCTGCCCTACGAAAAGGTTTATGGCATGACTCAAGGTTCAAAGAGGATCTAATACTTCACAAACCGGACACAATTCAAGACGCACTTTTCCGTGCAAATAACTGGATGGAAGTAGAAGACGAAAAAGAGAGTTTTGCGAAAAGGAACAAACAAGCGAAACCAGCAGTCACTTTCCCTACCAAAACGTTTGAGCCCAGGGAGAACCAAGGACCAAAAAAGTTCGGATCGCAACCCCTCAACAATACCGTAGGGAAACAATTTCAAGGAAAAGGAAGGTCGAACACTTGGATCCGCGATGAAAGTTTGTATTGTGACATCCATAAGGTAACCGGACACTTAACAAAAGACTGTAGCGTCCTCAAAAAACACCTTGCAGAGCTGTGGGCCGGTGGAGATCTTTCTAAATTCAAGATAGAAGATTTCGTGAAAGAGTATCACGAAGCAAAGGATAACCCCAAAGATCAGAATTTAAAAATACCTAGGCAATCCAATGAAGAAGAACCTAGAAGTTCGAAGGGAAAAATCAATGTGAACCTTGGAGGTTCCAAACTTTGCCGAGATACGATCAGTGCCATCAAGAAGCATAGGCGAAATGTTTTACTTAAAGCAAATTTGGGCGAAGAAATTGACTTCCAAGGCGCGTCAATATCATTTGACGAAGAAGAAACACGTCACCTCGAGAGGCCTCATGATGACGCCCTAGTCATTACCCTAGATGTTGCCAACTTCGAAGTATCCAGAATTCTCGTTGATACGGGCAGTTCGGTCGATTTGACCTTTTTAGGAACTTTGGAAAGGATGGGAATCAGTCGGGCAGACATAGTGGGACCTCCGTCTCCTTTGGTGGCATTCACAAGCGAGTCGGCCATGTCTCTCGGGACGATCAAGCTGCCAGTCCTTGCCAAAAATGTGTCAAAGATAGTAGATTTTGTTGTTTTTGATAAACCGGCAGCCTATAACATCATCCTTGGGACTCCGTGGATTTATCAAATGAAGGCAGTCCCCTCGACATATCATCAATGCATCAAATTTCCAACTCCTAGTGGAGTGGAAACAATTCGAGGAAGTCAAGAAGCTTCACGAACGTGTTATCTGACCAGTCATCGACTGAAGATCCAATAGCAATTAACGAAACCTGCGAAGAAGGAAATTCCAAGATTTCCTAGTGGGCAAAAAGAAGATGATGTGGTAATCGAAGTAGTATTGGAAGAAGACAAACCAGATCGGAAAGTCCGAATTGGAGTCACTTTGACTGGCGAAATAAAAGAAGCTTTGATTGAACTTCTAAGGAAAAACAAGACGTCATTTGCATGGTCAGCGGCCGATATGCCTGGCATAGATCCAAGCATAATTTGCCACAAATTGAACGTGGATCCAAGTTTTAAGCCTGTGAAACAAAAGAGAAGAAAACTCGGAGTAGAGCGAGCAAAGGCAGTAAATGATGAAGTGGACAAACTATTAAAAATAGGATCTATAAGGGAAGTACAATACCCGGAGTGGGTAGCAAACACTGTCGTGGTCAAAAAGAAAAATGGAAAAGACAGGGTGT